AATGGGGAAAAAATAAGAACCAAGATACATCATGTACAGGTACAAGCACCCAATGATAAATGTAAATGTATTGTATACCTAAAACGTACCAATAAGAGAACTTAAGAATAAAAAAAAACAATTTATGAAACTAAAGTGCACTCAAATATATTTGGCCAATTGAATTATAACATCTCTTTTAATTAAGACTAGTCAAAACTTTGGTAGGTCCATTAACAGAGATCTCTTATAATTAGAATCAGAAGGAAAAAAGGTGCTTTATAACCGTAGCATAATCTTATGTTATAGTTATTAGACAACTTTATTCTGAATGGAAACAGGCGAGGAGAAGTCAAATTTCTCAGAATGAGTGATTTTTCACCTTTAACCACTAAATGAGGCTTGTGGTGCCAAATCAGGACACACCATTGCTTAGCAAGCAGGCAAAGGAGCTAGAGACTGGTCCATTGGCCAGGTTTGCTTGCCAAGCATGGATGGCCCACCTTACACTTAGTTCTGAGGAAGCTGTAGGAAACACATCAAACTTAGACCAAAATTATATATTAACTAGTGAGCAGCATGGGAAACATTTCCCATGATTGCCAGATTTATAAGCGTATCTATATTTAAGGTGTTCTTTTAACCTCCATCGAACTGTTATACCACTGCTACCTGTAGAATTTTAAACATTGATATCCATTAAAAATTAGTGGGGAAAATGAAGAAAACTATTATTCTGAATGTTTCCTTTGTTATCCTTCACAGGCTGGAGTCCCCAGCCATTGCACATAACTCTGGTACCAATGGTACCTTTGTTCAGTAAATAAAAGGCATCAGAGACAAAGCATTAAAAATGCAAACAAGTTACCCACTTTCTTTATTCTGTTGCCTCTGCTCTGGCCCCAACACTTGTCCACTTGATGACATTTTATGGTCATCAACAAGTCTGCATTAAAACTACGGCTTTATTACCAACTCCATCTGATTTTCTTACCATGACCCAAAGTCAAAAAGAAACACTGCCACTTCTACCTAGAATATTGTGTTGCTAAAACTCAACTCTACTGATCATAACTTAGGATAAAAGACAACAAGGCCTGGTTTTACTGTATGTTAGGGAATCTTATGCCATCGAGATATTTTCATTGCCATTTGGCCTATTTTAATACACATTTCCTACTTAATGCACATTAATATTACAATATTAAAGTATCGTAAAAGCAGTTTTTAATTTTGACAGTAAGGATCATTTTAGTAAAATTTCAACCTAGGTTGGTATTTTTTTTATACATTCTTTCTTTACATTTAAAGGAAAAAATTCTTAACCCAAGCCTCTGTCATTATTACAGCATAGCCCACGTTTTAAAATATGATTTACTTCAGAAAATACACTGAGGTCTCTCCACGCAAGCATGCACCCTGTCTCTTCTGGATAATTTTTAAATGAGACTTTTAAAGAACTGCCTTTAATCTAGATTCCCTTTCACTGTTCCTGTCTGGCTCTGCAGAGTCGGAGATAGGGTGACCGTGTCAAATATGACCTGTGGAATAAGATTCTCATTGTCTCCGTCCATCAGAGAGTTCCATTGGTCAAAATTTTTATGAAGTCCTGGAAAACACGAACAGAAATAAACGATTAAACGTCTGAGCGCATTTAACAGTCCAGGGCCTCTAGGTGGCGCCACAGAATTAAGAATTACACAGACCACGCTGCATTGCCAGGCCTGCCTTAGCCGAGGCAGGAAACTCAGAAAGGTGCCAGGCGCCCCGTGGTCAGGGTCCCCAACATGCACGTCACCCCAGCTTTACAGAGAGACTCGACTTTCACAGGCAGACATGCGTTCTACGATCTGTAATGTGCACAGCGGTAAGATTAACTCAAATTTTTGTTTTCAAATTGATTTACTACTTTGTAAAATTGTAAGTCTACTGCGAATGGTTAAAACAAGAGTAGCACAGTTTTAAGGGAGTACAGTTTTGTCTTGAGAACCATCCAGGTCAGATCATGAGAGAATACCTGGTTCTTACCTAAATACTTCTGTAAGAACGCTAACGATGCTTTGTTAATAAGGTCCATAGCCACATTCGAGTCTATATCTCCTTTCAGTGATAAAATCTGTCCAATTATTTTACCAGTGAGAAAAGTGAAGTCGGCAAAATTGTGATGGACTGAACCCCTAAAAGAGAAATGAGACATTTACAATGCACATAATTTAATACAATTATTTTTGTAGATAGGGTGTAGGAAAGATACTGACCCAGCTGGCCTATGTACTGAAAATCAGGGAAACCAAACTTGTAATCTGATCTCCTTAGATGTATTTAGGGGATCAAAGCTGTTATTTAGGAATCTTAGAGTCTATTTCTCTCCCCTCTAGAAAACAGTTCAAAGAAGCCTGGCATCTTGATTTTAGGAGTATTTCCTGCTTGTTAATGGCTGAGAATATCCCAGTGTAGGCAGACAGATGTGGCAAGTGGAGCCCTAAGCTCAGAGCAGGAGTCTGCTCCAAAGCGTTCACGTTTGGCGTCAGGTGAATTCTGTGCTCTTCCAGTTTACAGCTGCCCATTCCCACCGGACTTCCCAGTTCTTAAGGCTAAAACATCTGGCTGCCCCTCCCAGCAGCTCTTCCTCCTCGCCTTCCTTTAGTCCTTTGAGCACTTCTTCCCAGAAGATAAACACAATAGAGGATTTGACCTCAGAGTTCCTCGCTTGGCCTGATGACGGAATACTTTGTCCTCCCATCCTGACATGTTCAGGTGTTTAATAAGAGTAGTGTAGGGCCGGGGATTTAGCTCAGTGGTTCCACTGCCTGCCTCACAAGCACAAAGACCTGAGTTCGATACCCCCCCAAAAAAAGAGTAGTGTATATCCTAATGCAAATTTAAATTAGCAGTACACACACTGCATACATTAACGTGATTGAAACCAATTTCATTTTAAAAGGGAAACAGATTAATATTCTCCTCACTGAAAGTCTCAACAACTAATTTAGCAATTCTATAATGACCACCAAACAATGTCAGCTGATGTTTATCCCAAGTTTCAAGTCTCTGTTTCAGATGATGAGATAAGTCACTGAGACTTACCTGATTGCAATCATTTTTCTTTCTCTGTGAGGTTGGAAGAACTTTTTCATTTTCACAATATCACCAGTACTTTGGAACCGTTCAGAGTTGATAAAAAAGAGGGGCTGAGGGATTTTAGAGTAGACCTCTTCCCCAACTGGAAACATCCACGGATCCAGAGCAATGCCACACCTGCAGATAGAAGTTGCAGGGTTATGCCCAGGACTTCCACCATGCCAGCTTGTTATGGGGTAGCTCGCTGGGTTTGGGAGGTATCAAACTGCAGTGTGAGAAGGGATTTTATTACCTTTATAAGGTAGCAGACGTGGAATTATACAATCATTTTCTTGAGGACTTGTTTAGGAATTGCAAACTATAAAGAGATATTTCCTCAGTGGTTTTTATTATTCATTTTTGTTGATGTTTTCAAAATAAAGTCATTTCTTTAAAACTGTGAGGTGTCTAAAAAAGTACAATAACTGCATGGTTCCCCTGTGTATCAGAGTTTTGGGGGCTCCACAATGCATTCTTTACACCTGTTCTACAGTAACAGTGGGACCCAGTGCTTTATATTTTAAAGGTGATTCATCTGAAAAACTATCTAGGAGTTGAAGAAAAACACATGACGCATACCATTTGGAAATGTAACTTTCTTCAGTAAGTTTTTGCTGTGTCTTGAACTTTCGAACAATCTGCCTGATGTGTTAAAGGATAAGAGGATTGCTTTATGTTGAAATGGATTTCTAAGGAATTCAAGGTGAAGTTTTGTAAATGATCATGCTTCCTTTCTATATGGTAGGTTCTGTGTGAGCTCATCAGCTTGAGATGAAGTCATTCAAGGATGAAATGTTCCTGCCAGTTAAAAGGACTCCTGCCCAAATAGCTGTGTAATTTTAGGTCCAGCTGCATCTTAGAGATGGAGTATGGAGTGAGGTGGCATTAATAAAAAAATTTCCTGCCCTGGAAAAATTGGGGAATACTATATGATGGCAGTATTGTTATCACAATCCTTATGCCACAGAAAAGATTTGTATAAAGACAAATTTCTAAGTGAAAATGTTAAGGCTTGAAGGAGATAAATAAGAATGATGGAGGAAAATATATGAGGGTCCAGGGAGTTTTTAAGAGAAGACATGAATAGTTTCTGCCTAGGGCAAAGAATAAAGTTGTGTACCTTAAAGGATCCCTTCTTCATTAAGAATTTGATTAAAAAAAAAATTTAAATCCCACACCTGTTGGGATTTAAATCCCATTCTCCCTCTTCTATAACTTACTGTTCTCTTGTTTTCTCCACCTTATTCTCTTACCTGAATCTCTGGTCTTTACTTAGCGCCTGGATAACTGTTGCTCCACCAAAAGAATGTCCCATTATTGCTATTTTATTCCTATCAAGAGATCCCTATATGAAAAAGCATAATACAAATTGGTAACTATCTCACATGGTGTCATAAAAATAAAGACTTTGTCAATCATAGAATTATTATGTATTTCACAGGTCTGGGTAAGTACCTCGCTTTTTTATAGAATATACAGTTTTTCTGAATTGTCAGCCCCAGCACTGTTTCGCCTCTCCCACTCTGGCAGGCCTTGATTGTTCCTGCAGCACCGAAGGGAGAAAGCGATACAGAAGCATTGTGCAGGGCAGCATAGAGCAGCCAGGGCCCAGGGGAGGGACAGTCAGACAGGCCAGGATGGGCAGCTTCTTGGAGGAGGCGGTGCCTGACTCGGGTCTTGAGGGTTGGTTAGCAGTTAGTCAGGGAAAGGTGTGTCAGGCCCAGGGGACACAGTACCAGGCAGGGACTGGGGAGAGAGTGGCCAGCTGGGGACAGCCCACTCTTCCCTGTCCCCTGAGGGCAGAACCCATAGTCCCATCTGCCACCCAAGCGACTCCTCTTTCCCTCTGCTCCCTGTTCCCAGGCTTCTCTGCAAATTTTATCTAAAACATTGGCCAACTTTTCAAGGTGAAGCTTAAAAACATGTAGGAGCTGTCCAAGAAGGAGTAATATTTTCCCTGGAGGGATTGAGGTAACCATAAGGAAACTGCCAAGTTTTTAGTTCCAAGCCATTAACACTTATATTTGCAGTTCAACCCCATGCATTCTTCATTGCTGTCAACTTAACCTGTACTGGTGTGTGTGTGTGCGTGTGTGTGTGTGTGTGTGTTGCAGCCCTTTATCATTCCGTACCTTCCAATACAGTAGAAAATCAGACAACAAAAAATAATAATGAACCACGGGTCAAAGGAAAAATGGCTTTTTAAAGCTCACTTTCAGCTGCTGCAGGTCAAACTGCAAATCCAACACGTTCTTCACTGGCTTTCCCTTGTCAAGGTCGAGAAGCAAACTGAGAGCTTGGGAACACTCCTTTCCTCGGTGCTGTACCTGATAGGGGTATTACCAGAAAGAAGTGACAGAGTCCAGGACTGTAACACTTACTCCGAAGTTCAGAGTCAGCAGGTGGAAAAAACAGTCAGTCTGTTATGTACCGGAAATGTCTTCGTAAAAAGTGATCAGAAGCCACTTTGCAGGCAGGTGTAGCTCAGTCCAAACCCTAACTCTATTGCTTTCCTACTGTATGACCTTGGATGACTTACACAGCCTCTCTGGGCTTTCATTTATTGTCCACTAACGCTTACCACAATGACAGCTGGGTGAGTTTAAAAGTCACCCCATTCGTAAAGCGCCAGGATAGAGAAGCAGCCAGTGTGCTGTTGCCCGTGATTACTCCACAGCCCTGCAAGGCTGATGCTGTTACCACTCACTATTCTGCAACAGGTAAAACACGGAAGCACAGGAAGGTCAACTTCTCCAAGGTCACTGCACTACCAAGTGACGGAGCCCAGAGTCAGACAGACAGCTGGTTTCGGAGGCCACATTCTTGGTGTCACCATATGCTGCCTATCTGACAGGAAGTCTTGTAGTGCCTCTGGGGGTGGGGGATCTACGAGCTATCATTCTAAGATTCTAAAATTGTAAATTTTAATACAAGAGAATTCTGAATATTCACTTTCACGTCCCAGGACTCATGTGTGCCTTTGCTTTTACCATGAACCAGAATTTCACTAAGGGGTTTTACTCCTTGGACGCCCTTCTGCCAGACCTTTTGGGAATGGGGGTCGGAGGCCTCAGAGAATTGCTTGCAGAGGCTGAGTTTAGATCCACAGAGGACATGCTTTGTCCCTTCACCCAGGCCACCAGGCCACCCTGCCCCAAGCTGCTGTTGGTGTACCTGCTCTTTTCGAAGAGTCTCCGACTCTGCTTTTGCAGATTTGAAGTAGAGCCAAGACTTGTTCCTTGATTCTGCAGCAGACTGGTCCTGGAAGTAGTAAGTAGCAGAAGCAGATTCGTCTCTGTAATAGTAATGGACTCGGTTACTCACACACGTCCTTCTGTCCTCGACTTCTTGTGACCCTCGTTCCTCAACTGCAGGCTTGACTCAGTGTCCCCTGATCTTTCCACTTCCCTTTCCTCTCTAACTCTACGTCTCATTTTAAGTTAAAGAGGAACCCAAAGGAGCGCTAGGAAAACAGCTTATTGTCTATTGTGGGTAAAAACCCATTCGGTCTTCATGATTCTGAAAGGCACCATCAGCCACATTGAAAACTCATTTCTGGAATCACATCCCAGTGTGCTATTTCCTAGTTGTCTGGCTTAGGGCAAATTGCCCTTTCTCACCTTCATTTTCCTCTCCCTGAAACAACAGAAATAACAACAATCTCTTGGGATGGTAGTGAAGACTGAATGAGATGGTGTATGAAAAACACCCAGCTGAGTCCATGGCATACAATAAACACTCTTGAAATAATGTTCTTCTTAAGTCTTGACACTCTGCCTCAGTCTCCTTTTGTTCTCACCATAGCTGGAAATTCCATCAACGTTTTTTATAAACTTGTACACCAGCTAGAAGCATAATTATGGGCATCCACGTTCCCTGTATTTGACTAAAGAATCTGGCTCCATTAGGTAACGTACCTGTGTTCTACAGCACCAACTATGAACCCATTAGACGCCAGGTCAATGCCAATAGCAGAATAAACTGTCCTTCAAAACAAAAAGAAGGAAGCATCAAAATTATCAGGTATGATGACAAGTCTGAGTCCTTTAAGAAAACTGAACATGGAGGTCATTTTGCCCGTCAATGCCCTAGGGTAGAGGAGAGTTCTGGGTCTCAAAGGGGCCTAACTTTATCCCTAGGGGGACATTTGATGATGTCTGGAGATTTCAAGATCACTTCTGGGGGAGTGTGCTGTGGGCCTCTAGTGAGTAGAGGGTAATGCTGAACCCTACAATGCATGGGGCAGTCCTGTAAGACAGGAAAGGACCTGGCCTCATTTCAGGGAATTTTCGAGTTTCCCTGAAAATAAGACCTAACTGGAAAACAATCAGCATTGAAAACTAGAGATCAAAAATGCCAGTTCCAATCAGCCTGTCCTTGCCTTACCTGCCATCACTATTCTCTTGTTCTGTGGCAGGTAAGGGACTAATAAAACAGAAGTTGCAAAAGCCTGGCACAGTGATTATAAGTATCGCCTTTGAGAGTTTTGTGTTTTCAAATCTTGACTGCCAACTCCCAGCCATGACTTTAGATAATTACTGAACTTTTGTTCTCACCTACAGAATGGTATTAAGGGTTTAATAAGATAGTGTCTGTAGGAAGGTAGGGAGTCAGAGACTGGGATGGGCACTTTTGTTTTCTCTGCCATGGTCCTTCTCTGTACAAAGGTGATGCTATAGAGTACAGTACCCCATAGGCAAGGACTGCATGAGTGGATGCATCTTCAGCGCCTGTGACCTGTTAGTCAGCTTTCCTTGGTGTGATAAAATTCCCTGGAAATGACTCAAAAGAGGAAAAAATCATTTTGATTCACGGTTTTGGAGGATTCAGGTAGAAATGAAGACCCTATTGGGAATTGGGATAGTGACCATTTGTGTTACATTTTAGCAAAGAACCTGTCTACATTTTGTCCATGCCCTGAGACTTTGAGTGAGGCCAAATATAAAGGTGATGGGCGACTCGTTTATCTGGTGGAGGAAATTTCACCAAAGCCTAACATTAAGGTGGTGATGTGGGTTTATGCCAGATTTCCAGTGAGAATCATGAGCAAAACGTGGAGTGGAAAGATTTTAAAATAATCTCTCCCTCCAGCGCCACCATCCCTCCCTAGGGGCAGAAGGTTAGGGTTTGCATCTCAACTGCTCCCCACCAGACTTGTGTGTCGGAAGCATGGTCCCCGGTGCAGCAGTGTTAGAGGTGGATTTTGCAAGGTCATAAGCTCATTAGGCACTAACTTGTCAGTGGGTTCATACATTGATGGATTTATAATTTAATGGCATTATTGGAGGTGATGGTGACTGACTGGCATGCAGGGAATAACTGAAGAAAACAGTCATGGGGTTGGAGCTCGGGGGCTGAATCTTGTCCCACCCCTTCCTCTTGGCTCTTTCCCCCTTCCTTTGCCACACCCTTCTGCCGTACCTCAGGCCTAAAGGCAAGGGAGTCTGCAAAGGAGCCGTGGACGAGAACCTCTGAAGCCATCAGCCAAAATAAACCTTTCCTCCTTTGAGTTGTTTCTCTCAGTAAATGCCACAGGGGTGCTACCACGCACCCTGTCTGAAACAGGGTACATACTTAGTACACGCTGGCTGTTGTAGAACTGATTGATCAGCCTGAATGAAGTGGTTCAGAATCAGGCACACTTATCTCTCCTCCATGCCTTCCCTCTGCACAGCCTCGTTCTCCCATCATGCATGCAGAGAATGAAAGGAGGGGTCTAAGAACTATGTTGTCCACTACTAGAGACACAGCACCATGCAGAGGCAAGCAGTCAGGTAAGCAATCACAAACTCTTCTCTCAAAAGTCAGAGACTCAATGCTTCCAGCACTGTAGGCCAAGATGTCTCTGTCTCAGTTCTCCTGTTAGAGCACAAACGTAGCCATAAATAATAGAAATCAAGTGTGCATGGTGTGCTCCAATAAAACATTTGAGAAATGGGTGTCAGGCATGATGCGGCTCTGGGATCCAATTTGCCACTTGCTAGTCTGGAAGAACAGGCCAGACTACAATTAAAGAGCTGAGTATAATTCCTTACTACAGCTGCTGCCCAACCTCTTCCCAGCCAAAGGCCTTAAGATTCCAGCAGAGATCTGTGAGTGGGTGCGGTTTGTCCTGGAAATGTGCCCGTTGGGTATCATACTGCAGAGGGCAAAAGTGACTCCAACCTAGCTCCTGTCCCTCTGTGTCTGTCCCCACCACCAAATGGAAGCTACTCTGTCCAGCTTGCGAACCAACACTGCTTCACTCCTATAAGATGGGGCTCTTTTGCATACCAAGTTTGGGCCAAGCACTCTCTGCTGGCCTGGCCAATCTTTCTCAGAACTGTGCTGTAATCGAAGTATTTTGTTACTGAATTCTTCTCCCTTTTCCATCTCCTATCCAGGTGTCCAAACTGTACCATGTCTGAAGGCTTTCCCCATTCCTACCTGCACCTTCCTGCCTATCCTTCATTTCTCTCAATAATATCTTCAGGGCTCATCCAGTCATGGTGTCTGTTTCTTGGAAGACCCAAACTAGCGCAGAGGATGATTTCAAGAGCATAAATAATTATGATGCAGAAGGACAATCAGCAAAAATGTAACCTCCTCTCTCCTGGGCTGTGAGTTTATCCCCACAACCTGGGACTGAGCAGTAGGCCACAGCCAGGTCTTCCAGGACTCACCTTCCCCAGGCAACGGCCAGCCTGACATTCTAATACCTGCTATTCTCTTATTTGGAGACAAAATATATTCAGTGATTGCTAGAAGCTAAAACTGCTCGACCTCTCAAACATTACCTGAATGCTCCAAGACCGTGAGAAAAAATAATCAGTGGGTATTTTTCACCAGTCCTCAGAGGAGAATTCCACTTTGCAGGAACAGTCATTGCACCTACACACACCAAGGGAGATCAGTCAGCGTTTTCTGTGGCTTGGATGTTGCCCATTAATTTACAACATGAAACCCTGAAGCATTTAGACCTAAGTTTTTATAGATTAATAGTAAACGCATTCAAAGGTCAGCTACTGGACAGTCACCAACCAAAGAGCTGAACCATGAGCCCTTCCTCACACCACACAGTCATTAATCACCATTCTCAATGCCAGCTCCCAACCTAGGGTCAGAGAATTTCCTGCTCACAGGTGTATTCAGCAAGGCAGCTGCTTTGGGCCATTTTGAGGTTTTGTAAATGTGAAAGGCAATGTTCTAAAACCAAATCATCTATTCAGTCACATAAGGGCTCAAAAATGGAAAATCTCATCCCCTCTTTCTTTACTTTTCATGTAATGCTAATTTTTATTATTAAGTATTTGTGTTTTATTTTCTCACCTATACAACAAGGCCATGAAAACGGAATGTGATGATTGCTACACCAGTGATTTGGAAATTATTCAGCTACCAAGATGTGTAGCTAGGGTACTGTTAGCATTTCTACTTTAAAGGAGTTTTTAAAGAAAACTCTAAAGGGAAGTTGAAATGAATTCCAAAAGTCACAGGTCGTTTTGAGGGAGAACTTTAAAGGCAGAGTTAACATCTGCCCAATGGTACTGTTGGTCACATGGATGAGGAAAGGGAAGTCTGTGTTAGTGGCAAGAAGACAAATTCATCATGGATGCACTGAGATGGTAAAAGAGAGGTTCTGGTCCCTTAGGGTAGGTGACAGGAAGAGCTCCACATTTGTGAGAAATGAGCTTTGACTCTTTTGTTTTGGTCTGGAGGGACAATGGCTTCTGCTTTCTTTCTCTTTTTACTTGATACGGAGCATATGGGTTACTGGTGACAACAACCAATCTCATTGTCAAGCCAGCTCATTCTTCCTCTCATGGTTCCTTAGAAGGAAAACTAAACAGTCATCATGGAAGGGCATGAGCACCAGCTGATGTCACACCCACTCCCAGAGAATTTGGGATGGATGGACTGAGAAATCTGGATGCACTCAAAGCTGCCTGGGCTCTTGAGACATGCTGACTGTGTCATCATAGGAGAAATTTAGATTGGAGAAAATCTGCTTTGTTCTTAACTCTCAGAAATTCTTGTTCCTAATTTCTCTATTCTAGACCCTACAGAATTTCACCAAGAGATCAACAGAAATCTTACTGTATAATGAGTTGAAAACTTTGCCCATGAAACTGGGTGATCCAAGGACTTTACTAAGACCCTCAAAATATTCTTTGTTTGGTATCCACAGGGCATCAGGGCCATCTTTATCTTGCGATGGATAATACAAGCGTAAGAAGGTGCTCTGTTGATGAAAGAAATGAAGGTGCTTTTTAGTCCAGTTCCTTCTCAAACATATTCCAACAGATGTTTTTCATATTTTGTTAGAAGGGTCTAAATACCTCTGTCATTCTTAAAGAGGTTCAGAGACTTTTTAAGTTGCTGTGATGATTGAATATAGTCATGAAGGAGAAAATAAATAGTCTTTGAGGGTAAAGAGAGTATACTTCAGCCATGAAAGAGAGGAAAAGAAAGAGTTTATAGGCCAATCAAATGACAGCAAAGAATCAGGGAATGAAGCAACAGAAATGGCAAAGGGAGTCATTCATAGATGGGAATAAGGTAAAGTTTTAATACCAGAGTAAGTCAGTATTAGAGTATAAGGATAACTTGAACAATCAAAGCATTACCTGGTTAGTGTAACCAGACATCAGGTCTGTACAACCCACGGAGTAAGGCCCACTTCCCTTGGGGATTTTTGTGTGGCCAAAGCTGGCAGTGGGCAGCAGCAATTGTATTGTTTGGATCCATGCTGAAAAACAGGTGAACGTTACCTTATTTTTCATATTATGCACCCCGGATTCATTCTGCAAGGACATCCAAGGGAATCAAGCCACTGCTCACAGTTTCTGGGGTCTTGCTTTTTTTTTTTTAAACCTAATTGAGGACCTGCTGTGTGTGGTGCACTGGGAAGGGGTTTGCAAAATAAAAAGATCAAAGTAGACATGGCCCATCTCCCAGGATTCCTTGCAGCACCACCTCATAATCCTGGAAGTCTTGTCTCACCTTCCACTCTGTCTGGAGTACACTAAGGGCGACTCCCCAAGTCTGTTTTTTCTAAACACAAGCTTTGTCTGTCATTTGAGATTTCTGCTCCCAACTTCTCACTGGGCATTTCCACCCATTCCCTTCCCCATAGCAGCCTCAAAGCCAGTGGTCCAAAATGAGACCAATGATCATCTCGCCTCCCCCTCCTCCCCCTCCAACCACATAGCTCCCAACTCCAGAATTCTCTGTCTCACATATCCCAAGCTGAAAGCCTGGGAATCATCCTACTTTCCTACCTCTTTCTCACCAACCCCCTACTTCCATGCAAGTTTCAATTTCTAACCATTGTTTCCTTGAATTATCTTCCCGATGTGTCTCTGACTCTTAGCTGAGCTTTTTCATTTGTGCCCTCTCAGTCTTTTGACCAAGCAACTGCTGTCTCTTCTACTGTTCTGTGCACTCAGACCTGGCCCCTTCAAATGCCTCCTGTACCCAGCTCCTGGAGGGTCGGAGTGCACAGATCTCACCAACTCCTAAAATTCTTCAATGGCTCCCCATCATCACAGCCGCTTCTAAGGGGAATGACTGGACCCTCTTAGAAGGGAGTTGGTAGGAGGGATTAAGTCCACACATGCCCTTTCAGCAAAGGTACTGTGAGTCCAGACACAAACATGGTTCCTTCTTGTGGTGTCTCAGGTTGAAACATAGGGCTGCTCACAGTTGTACAAGCTAAGTCCCAAGGCCCTGTGCTGGAAGACAGATGCTGAGCGTACTGCCCAGTGCTCTTCTGCCCAGCACTCTGCTGCCGCCTCTCCCCGCATGAGCTCCCTCCTTCACACTGGGCTGTTGATATCTCCTCACCTCTGTAACAGCTGTTATAGCCACTGTTCAATATCCCCGTGGCAAACTCTTGTTCTACCTTTAACAGCTCTATCAGAAGTCAGATTCCTCTGACCCCTTCCCTGACTTCCAGGCAAACTGAATCATTTCATCCTCAGTATCACAGATTCCATAGATTAGATAGATATGAAAGATAGATAATAGATGGATAGACGGATGGATGGATAGATAGATACAGTGGACCCTTGACTTATGAACTCAATTCATTTTTGAGGGCTGGTTGTAACTCAGGTTGGTCAATTGAAGCCTCAGGCTCCTCTACACAGCCCTCAAAGTCTCTCTCCTGTAAGCAGGCAGATCTCAGGGTCCTTAGAGAGACACTGGCCCAGATTTCTCCGTTAACCCCACACAGGAAAGGATGCTGTAATGATCCTCCAGAACTCTAAGGGTTAAATGTGTATCTGAGACCATGTGGAAGCACAAGGGGCCGGCATTCAGGTCATAACCCAAGACTTTGTTCGTAGGTTAAAACTAAAATTCTGGTCATAACCCAAGCTGAACGTATGTCAGGCTGGTTGTAACTTGAGGGTCCATTGTACATGAGATAGATAGATGACAGATATGTGAGATAGATACATAGAGATAGACAGATGATAGATAAATACATAGACAGATAATGTGATTGGGCAGATACATATAACCCTTCTTCTTATCACATGATATAAAAGTTGTGGTTTGCACACTGGGCTGTTTCTCCTCATCTGCAACAGAGCTGTCTCTGTATTTCTGAAACACAGCATCTGTGCCGAGGTGAGTACTCAGTATTTCCTGAAACCCCCTCCCCCTGGCCCCAAATCCCTGCCACACTCCTGCAGCTTTATGTGGTTTCCTTTCCAAACCCAAGACAAACCTGGGTTTTATGGTATGATGTTGGGTCCAAATGTCAGTACATCCAGACTCTCTCCTTGGTTCACTCAGCAGCCCACTGTTGGATGGGGGGGGCGGTGGGACACTGCTGGACACTCTTGTGCATTTTCCACCAATTCTGCCTGTGCAGTCAGACACCCACCTGGGCATGGCACCTGCATCCGGAGGGGGCACAGCTCAGATCACTGTGGCTTTGCAGGGATAAGTCTGTCTACATTATCTGCCCTGTTGACTCATGGTGAATCACCCACCCGAGGTGGAGGCATCCGTCCAAGAAGGCCTGCTCGATACTCAGGGGGGGCCCACAGCCAGCCTCACAGAGCTTGGAAATGCAGCTCCAAGACCCCTTCCCAGCTACAGAACCAGAGAAGGGCCAGGAGAGCTTCACTGAGCTTTCAGGATCACTGTGCTCAGGGACCAGGCCATCTGGCTACTGCAGAGAACAGCAGCACAAGGTCAAGGATGGTGGTTTTGAGGAGGCAGGGGCAGTGCTACAGGCTCTGGCCTGGGAGGAAAACACTGAGCCAGCCTACCCGATAGCTGTAAGGGTAAAGTGACATGAGAGTCGAGCACCAGCACAGGACATGACCTGCAACAGGCAGCCAGCTGGTGTCCTTGTCCCCATCCCCAGGGCTAGATCCTTGGAGAGCCAAACTTATGTGCAGTGCTCGGAGTAGTTCAGAGATCTACAGACCTAAACAAGACCATCTGCTTCCCTGTAGAGCAAGTTCAAAATTCCCAGCGTTTCCTTAGAGGCTTGGTTTTCTACCTTCTATTGCAGGTGAACAGCTTGGGATATTTAGGGTTACAAAAGGGTCTTGCTCTCCACGGAGACTCTGGAGCCATATTCATGATGCAGCATGAACAGGTCACATCCAGAGGGCAGCAGGGAGATGACAGCTACCTTTCCCTCTGCCATAAGCCCTTCTGAGGTGCTGAGCCCATCCACAGGCAGCTGAGGCATGGCTGAACCAAGTGGGGTGCCTGCAGGCTCTTAGGGTTCAGTGGGGACCCACGGTGGCCCTGGACACACTCCTTCTAAAACCAGCTCAACAGCCACAGAAAGGTGCCACCCTACACAAGCAGACCTCTCCCCTGATCAGACCTCAATTCCTCCAAGGCCCTGGGACTCTTTCCAATAACCCAGGGGTACCCTCAGGTTCCCCAACCTGGTGTCCCTGAGACACTTCCCCACCCAGCACTCAGGTCAAGGTGCCTTCCGGACACCTGGCCCCTGGGAAGGTCTCAAGAAGTGAGGGGCTGACTCGGGGTTCAGGAGGGGTCTGCAGGGTCACGTGGCTCCCCAGGCCGGAGGGGGGTGGTGCAGAGAAGGCTGGGCCCCAATTCCTGCTTCCACCCAGCATCCAACGGGAACCATCTTAAAGGAAGAGGAGCTTTGGAACCTGTGCTATTAACCTTATTACTTGTTTTTGGTGATGTTCATTTGTCTGATATTCCTGATACTCAGTCTTCAGATGAGTTATCTACACACTAGGAAAATCATGTTCTCTTATACGGCTTTATGCTCTCCATTAGCAACTGGCAACTCTCTTTTCATGAACTCCATATTCATAAACCTTTTTATTTTCTATGTATTCATTTAATAAGAACTTATAAAGAATCATCTATTATTCAAATATTTTATTTAATAAACTTATAAAAATTTCAAAAACGTGTGCATTCCTTTTTGAGCATTTAGAAAGAGGAGGGTGTTGGGCTGGAACTACATAGAAGAATAAATCAATGTCCTTGTCCTTAAGTGTCTGCCACCCCAGTGACTTTTAAACAAACGGGAAGGGAGGATAGGAAGCATGTCTTGACATTCTCACCCTGAACCAACACCAAGTGCATGGTACAAATGTCCCCTAGGTGATAATTTACCTATCATCATGTAAAATGTTACATGTCTTCAACCCATGGTTCACCTAACTGTACCAGCCTCCTAGACTACCTTGGCCATGGTCACCTGCACATCCCTGATGCCTAAACCTGCTGGTCAATGCTGGTCGATGCTGAGGGATGAGCAGACCTCAGAGACATCGGTGTACACATAAGATACAGTCCCTCAGGGCTGGGGATTTAGCTCAGTGGTTCCGTCGCCTGCCTCGCAAGCGCAAGGACCTGAGTTCGATCCCTGGTACCAAAAAAAAGAAAAGATACAGTCCCTCTCCTACTAATGCATTCATTTCCCCATGATGAAGTGGGGCAAAATTGATCTCGATGGCACCACGTTATGCAATGCTGTGAAATGTTGTTGTCTGTGAAGCCTGAACAACCAGATCTGGGGACTGCGTCTAAGCATATGCACAGACCCGTGACTGACAGTGAAAGGCCTTCACATCCATCTTCCCTGCTCTCCTAGGAGGGACGCAGGACCACACTTACAAGGCCTGGATGAGCAGGACATCACCAAGCTCCAGTGCGAGCTCTTTGCAGTAGGGTCTTGTGGTGACACAGAGGTGACTTCAGGTGGCCTGTTCTCACTACTCCTCCTGGCTTGTCAAGACCCTCTCTTTCTCCCCTTCTTTCCCCAAGGTAAGAGAGCAAGTGACCATGTCTTTTCTCCTGGGAGCTCCTAGGGCCCACTTGTCCCTACTTCTTAGGCAGAAAGATCATTTCCCTCTGGATCTCAAGACCCTAAATTCTCATCTGCTCATGCCACCCTCCGCTATGAGCCAGCACTAGGCCTGTTTCAAGGCCCCGCCCCCCACCTCACCCTGGTTCTGTCCTGTGCTGTCAACAGGACAAAGTGGGTTCCTCTCCCAATGTCAGGAGAACTAAGGATCCCACCACCATCTCTTAATAGGACTTGCTTAGAAGCCCAAACGTGCAGCATTGCTGATGTTGCCAGGAGTTCAAGACCTGCAGTCAGGTGTCTCTTACCTGATGGTTGGATATAGGTGACAGGTTCTATGTCTTGCCAGTTAAAAGGATGGACCAGTGGCAGGCAGCCGAAGAGGCAGAAGAGCATGTGCAGTTTTGGTGGGGCCATGCTGGGCTCAGCTGAACCTTCTGCACAGCTGGCGACGGAGAGGGAAGAGAATATGCACAGAGGGCTTAAATATGCTGACAAAGTCGGGGGCAGAGTGAGGCGCGATGGGGAAAACCAAATGTGTATTTTCTGAGCTGGGCTTGGGTAAGGACCACCTACCCTTCTGATACTACTGGATTACCGGGCTCAGAAGTCATACTCCCCAGCAGTTAACATTAGGTTTTTCACCACTAGTTCTCTAACAGGGTAGCAGTGTAGTTTAGTTACAAAGTAACATTGTAGTTTAGTTACAAAGCATAGCATCAAAATATCATAATTTTAACAACCACATATGACTCTTTACATCATATCTATAGTGCCTCTCTATGTAGCACACAGTAAACATTGCTTTGGGCCAATGGTTCTGCCCTAATTAAACAGTGATTATAATGCTGCTGCTGTGGCTGTTATTTGGTGTGAATATTGATTTTTTTTTTGTCAGTCTCGATCACCCTACCCCTCTTAAATTCTGAAGGACAGAAATCAGGTTGTTCTTGTCCCTAGCACTTGACAGAGAGCCCAGCAGGCAGCTGGTGTTGAAGAAGTGTTTCCCATGGCAATTAGACTGCACACTAACATCTTACTAGCCAAAACCATCTTGCATTCGTGCACAACTTTTCTGCTTTAAAATGTGCCCCTTTGATTTAGGGGGTGATGGAAATGATCCAAGCCACCCCCATCGCTCATCTGAATTTTGGCAATAACTCTAAGTGGTCCCCCTGATCCATTCCAGGCATCATCGTGCCCACGGCGATCATGTCTCTCCTCTGTCAGACCCTGCATGGCTCCGGGTGTCACAGAGAAAGAGAGCGGAGAAAGCTGTCGTCGGAACGTGCACTGCAGACTCCGAGGGATATCTGAGTCCCTGTGCAATCTTACCGCAACCATCCTGGCCCTCTTGCCTCTCACAAACGCACCGAGCATCTGCTGCCCTTTGGGCAGGGCCACATTCTTTCTCACAGAAGGCTCTTTGCCTAAACAAACACATCTTTCTTTGCTGCTTGGTGATAATCCTTGTCCAGGGTGGAACAGGGTGGAACAGCTGGGTAGATTTAGTGGGTTTCATGAAGGGCTCCACATCCACCTAGGCATTTCCACCATAGTCCTCAGGGCACTTCATATTCACTGTCCTTCTCGTCCTCCACAGGCTATGGGTGCCCTGGCAATAACCAGGCACCCCTCCTGGTCACCTCCATGGCTTGCCAACGTTGCAAATGTTCCACAAACCCAGCTCCTTACTTTCCTCTTCAAGGTGACAGGTCCCTGATCCAAACTAGCTACTGAGAGACACTGGGGGTTACAGAGCCCCCTAGTGATGTTCTGTTTGCATCTCTGCAAATTCATATGTTGAAAGCGTAGGCCCCAAGGTGGTAGCATTCAGACGTGGGGGCCTGTGGAAGGTGATTAGGTCACAAAGGTGGGGCCCCCAGGAATGGGATTCGTGCCAGCTGCCACCCTAGGCCAAGACAAAAGGGCAAAATTGCTCCTGAGATGTAACTGGACACACAGAGCAACATCTGGTAAACCAAAGCCTGAGAGCACCAAAATTACAAAACAAAGTCAGCAGGCCAGGGATTTAGCGCAGTGGTTTCGCCTGCTGCAAAAGCACAAGGACCCAAGTTTGATCCCTGGTACCAAACAAAACAACAAAAAAAACAACAAAAAAACCCAAAGTCAGCAATGCTAGCAGGCTTAAAATGAGTTTTAGAAAGCAGTGTGGAAAGCATTAAATTGTCCGTGTCCTTACCTGACCTTTTCATTAGATATCTAGCATTACCATAAAAATGTCTTCTACACAGGGAAATAAAACTCAGTGCATGCAGTAGCATGTTTATTTAACTCTGGAAAAACCAACTGCAATTTTAATTGAAAAATAACACAAAACTGTCATATAAAAATTCATACTGAAAAGGCAATTAATATAAAAAGGATAATGGACTTATGAATGTTTTTCCCATTATATCTCACATATTTTATGATAAAAGTATTGCTTTATTAATAAGAAATAATTCAAAAGTGACATTAAAAAAGAGTTTGCTGCTCATGAGGAGTACTATGTTTAAAACGAACTAAAATGTCACACAGAGGATTAAGAGAATTATCATCATTATAGATAGAGATATATGAACTAGAAATGAAGCAGGGGGAGAAGGAGGAGACGAAATAAAGATTTAAAAGTTTACAGGGTTTATCTTTGGAGATTTTTCCATAGCTTGGAACTAAAGGTAATTTTTAATTCTTTTTTCTACTTTTCTCTTTTGCAATGCTTTAAATCAATGGGTAAAGGCGGATGCGTTTGTTATGTGTCAAAGGGGATTTAAAGATTGCAGATGGAATTAAGAGCTGCTAATCAAGCGCCTTAAAATAGAGAGAGGATTGTACGCCATCTGGTGGCCCGAGGTAGTCACGAGAAGGGGGAGGGGCGCCAGCAGCGGAGGTCCGAATGACGTCATGTGACAGCCAATCAGCCACGGTTGTCCTTGAAGATGGAGGAAAGTGCAGGAGTCACAGACCTGGTGACCTCTAGAATCTGAGAAGGCAAGGAGACCGACTTTCCCTGCAGGATCCAAGAACTCAGCCTTGCCAACACCTTTTTAGCCTTTCGAGATGTCTGGATTTAGAGGTGACAGGATAACAAACTGTGTTGCTCCAAGCCATGAAGCTTATATGAATCATGACAGCAACAATAATAAAACTAATATGGAGCATAGGGAGTTACAGAAAGACCTAAGAGCAAATAATACGCTGACTTACTTTTGACTAAATTTTAAGAAAATGGTTAATGGCTCAGTAGCTCAGAATGGATCTATTATCAGACTGAAGGATTGAGGAAGAAGATATCATCTCCTGCTTTGGATATTTTACAGTAACAGGAAGGTAGGAAAACAAACAAACAAACAAACAAACAGCACATCACCCTATCTAGTAACTCTCAACTACAGCTATGTTGTCCCTCAAAACATTTGGTCATGTCTGGAAATGTTTTTGGCTGTCACAAGCGGAAGGGGAGCGTTGTTGGTGAGGACAGGCAGAGGCCAGAAGTGCTGCTAAATATGCACAGGGTGGCCCCACAACACAAATACACCCCCACTGGCCCACGATGCTGAGGTTACGAAGCCCTGGCCTAAGAGAAGAGAAGAGCAGCTATATCCTTATTTAACAAGAGAGAAATATTTCTTCCATTATAAAACACAGAACAAGGAGGCAGCTATCTGGACAACAAAGGAAGAGCATTTTGATAATTAGATCCTTTATAATATCTGCCTCACTGGTCAAGAGAAGGATTCACCATTGGTAATGGGTTCCCCTGCAAGGCTATTGAAAAAAATGAGATATTCACAGGTGGGGTTGGACTCGGAGGCCCCATCTTTAGCTAAGTTGTATGATTCTTTGAAAAAGCATCAGCAAAGCATTTCCTACTCAACACTTGCTAACAATGAAACTAGGAAAGAAAGGGTAATACTGTAGGAGCATTGTTTTTATCTGTGCCATGTTAGTTGATGGCATCAAGAACCTAAGCCTCCCATCAACTCAGATGTGTTAAGACTCAAATGACCTCTGCAGAAGTGTCTCAGTGGCCTCCCATTTGGGGCACTGTTGACACAGCTCTTTTGTAATCACTTCTCAACCTTAGAAAAGAGGTAGGGTAGAAAAAGCAAAACAAGAAGTAAGTTCCCTACTGTGGAAGCAGCTTAATAATACAGCCATTTTTATGTAAGTGTTTTAAAGCTGCAAGTAATATAAAAATTAACTGATTCTACCCATATTGAAAAAGGAACTCACCTGAATCCCACTTGCAAATGTCCAGATCTTCGTGTCCTCGCAGCTAAAGGATGTGAAGGACAGAGACCATCTAGGACCAGGGCAGCATCTGCCACCCTGGAGGTTCCTGAGCTCGTGCTGCATTCTACCCAGCAGCCTGCCGAGACTGCCCACGCCTCCTGGCACTTGTGCTAGGGGGCTCTCTATAGACTTCCGGTGAAGAACTGTTTTCCAAAGAACGATTGCAGAGTCTCCTTAAAGGATCGGGGATTCCTGAATTACGAAAAACTAAAGCCACAGCCACCCCCTACCCTAAACAAATAAGACACAGAAAAGACACAAGTCCATGTGGGCGAGTATACACACACAGACACACTCGCATGCACACCATATAGGCACCATTATGAGTCTGAGCGTCACAATGCTTTTGAGAGTTGTCTGCATGCATAGCTACAGGACAGATTTTCTCCTTGAGGACACTTACCCTGTGGCAGAAAAAGGGAAAGTTTTAGAAATGTGGCTGCTGTCTCCAGCTGCCAATATTTGACTCTTGGATCCGCTACTTACTGGTTTGATGACCCACTCTTGCTTTTCTCTCTTCATCTGTCAAAGGTGAGCCTGTTTGTGGGCTTGTTCGAGGGATATAAGCCCTTTGAGGAATGTTGTTATCCTTCCTCAAAGTCGACTGGGCATCCCAGTCCTGCAGCCTGTCACGTAGATGCAGGCCTGGGGACAGGACGTGGAGAGGGTGGGGTAGGGGGCCATGGAGGAAACTGGAAATAATAAACAAGCTTTTTCCATTAGAGGAACTCAGTGTCCACATCTTCCCCTGGGGGCTGTGGAATTAAGCCTGGCTATGTTCCAGGAGAATACTGATTAAATCTGAAAAGGGATGTGTAATTCCTGCCTGTCTGCGAGAGATACTTTCTCAACTTCCAGTGGAAACCCACCCACAGACAGCACTGGCTCCTTGGCTCTCTGTCCTGTGGCTTTCCATGCAGTGCTGTGTCCATCTGCCCTCCATGGTTTATGCTCCTACACGCCACAGTGCTTGGAGCCATCACTTAGTAAAATAAGGGTCACCTGAACACAAGCGCCAAATGACCACTGATCCGATCACCAAGGCAGTTGCCAAGTGACCAATGGGCGAGTAGCATGGAGAATGTGACTATGCTGGACACAGGCAAGATGGAGCCAGACGACTTTCGAGCCCACCATGCTACTTGGAATGGGGTGCAATTTAAAATACATGAGTGGTTTTTTTTGGAATTTTCACTTAGTATTTCCTGACTACAGTTGGACCATGGGTAACTTAAAACCGCAAACGAGGAGGTGGTACTCTAACAGGGGCTGTAGAGGGAAAGCAGCTCTGGGGGGATCTGTAAACAGCCCCCTAACACCTCTGGGTGCACCTGTGAGCATCCTGCAAGAGAAGCTGAACGTGATGCGTTCACCCTCGTGAAAGAGACCAGCTTGAAACTGCACTGAGCAGGCTTTGGATACTATTGATTTGGCTTATGAACTCAGCTATTGATTAAAACTGTGGGGCACTCCAAGGCCTAAGTGTGATTCGCCAATGGACCTTTTGGCTGGTGTGTGGTGATAGACTTCCCTATGCCAAGGGTCACAACTGAGGTCTCAATGATCGATGAGGTTGTGATGTCTCTAATAGCAAGGAAACACTGCAGCTGAGGAATTAGGATTCTGTGATGCCATTCTCCGAGATCAAACGTTAGTGAAGATAGCACAGGTGGCTTGTTAATCGTGACCTGTCCTTCACTAGAATCCACAGTTCCTCCCCTTTCACAGCCTGGCTCATCAGTGCATTAGTTCTGCTATTCCCTCCATCTGCCTTTACGCCTCCCTTGTTATGTTGTGTAATCATAAATACTGACTAATCCAGAGATCTTGGTCTTAGCCAGGAGGGTTAAGATCAGGTGCTCTTTCGCCAAGAGAGAGCTAAAGATCAATTTCTGGGCCCCCAAGTAATAAACCACTGTTCATTATTCTCTATTCCTTGTTCTTCATATATTATTCTTTCGTCTTTTGCTGTAACCTCATCAGGTGACCAGGCATCCCGTGGTAACTGGTAGGGCTATCAATCCAAACACCCTCAGCCCCCCAAATGTGTACACCCCATATGAATGAAACAAGGAGGAAGAGTAAGCACAGCGATCTGAAATAATCTCATCTTATCCTGTGCCTGCACCCCGCGAAGTATCTTATACAAATGAACACATTTCATCTTCAGAGCTCAGAGTTCAGCTGAGAAAGCAGAGACAGGTTAAATATCATGCCCATGGCCACAGAGACAGGAAGTAGCCAGGCTGGGATCTGAACATAAGCTCTGACTCTAGTAAGGACCCTGGACTCAGTGCTATGGATGTTCCAGGTTGAGGGTTCCTAGCTATGTGGCTCCCTGGGCCTTGAGGGGTGTCTAGCAGCATCCCTGGCTCTACCCAATGGGGTTCAGTGGAACACCCCAGGGTGGCAACCAAATACATCTCCAGAAGTTGCCACATGTCCCAGAGGAGAAAAGTCACCTTCAGTTGAAATCCACTAGTTCTGCTATAAATCCTTAGAACAACCTAACTGAAAGCATATCAAAATCAGGATGAGTTGGCCAAATAAGCTAAAATAATAATATAGAGCCACTGTAGGATGCACAAGAGAGCATAACATTTTAGAGAGGGTTGGGCCTCCCTTCTGCTGCATTCTCTACCAGGAAGAGCACATCCTGTTGACCCTGTGGGGCTTCCAGGATTTCAACAGATGAAGGCTCCCACAGAGGGACATTTGCCCAACAACAGCCAGGACGCCGGGTCACAGGAGAGGCTCTTGGAGGAAAGGGGAGACCAGGACAGCACCTGACAGATAGTGTTCCGCACAGAGAAGGTCTTGGATGTGTCCTGTGTGGACCCAGATTATAAAACCCTGCTGGCGGGAGCTTCTCTACCATTGGTTTGGTCAGAAGAGCAAAGCACAGGCCTGAGGCTGACCAGTGGGATCCTGGGACAATCAGGGACTCCTGTATTGCAGGATGGACCTGGAAAGGGCGGGCAGGCCGGGCTGGACAGCCCTGACCTGAGGTTCTAAAGCCAAGGCCAGAAGGGCCAGCCAGGTACCACAAGAGAGTCCCATGTGAGGATTCGTGGGGACTGAGGTGCAGCAGCCATGCAGGAAGACCCAGGAGGGGGCCCCTCCAACGACTGCTCCATGCAGGAATGAGGGCTCCAGGCTACTAGATCTGAGAGTTTTCAAAGGCTGGAAGACTACATTTGTATGTGATACTCACTGATCTTTAGGGATAGCAACTAAGTCAACATTTGAAGACATTGTATGAGTCAAACCAAACAAATGTAGGGACCCCAGAGGAAACTAACCTCTCCCTTAAAGATGCCCCAGCCAGCACCAATCCTAAGGAACTGCAGTGGTACAGAGTGAGAGAGCGAGATCTTACAGGTCCCAGAATCACTGTCACTTTTGTCAGCACTGACCCCTCAAACCTGTCACTTGAAGCTCAAATTTGGACACACTGATCCCATAAATAACTAAGGAATCTGGCGCACGAGCGTAGCCAGAGCCTATTCAGTCAAGAGGAGCTGAGACTTCTGCCACACACACACACACACACACACACACACACACACACACACACACACGCACAGATGAGGAAGGGCTCGTTGCTTCCACACAGAGGCAGCGAGCTCTCATGAGCTGCAAGTCCAAGAGCATCAGGACGGAGAATCAGGGTTGCTTCATGTGGCGGTGAGCTGTCCTGTCACGAGAATGTCATCCCTGCCCTAGCTGGTAAACAACCTCGCAGCTCTTCCCTGACTCCAAAACTTAGTCAGGGACCAATGGGAGAAAGGTCTGAGCTTCTCAGAAAGAAAATGCTTCCCTAAGGGAAATAGTCCTGTTCAACTCGGGGCTATAAGCCTGTTCTGGAAAACCTCCCTAGCTACACATCTCTGCACTCAGGCTGCCTGCAGACCTGTATCCAGGACAAAATCAAATCTGCCCAAAGCAAAAAAAGGTTTTGCTTTTTCCCCTTCTGTCAAATAGCCTACTTTTTCTTGAGCACATCTCCCTTTCTAAATTAAGACAGTTACCATTTTAGCATTCATGTCACGGCATTCTCTGATGGGTTTCACGGGGAACTTTCAGGTAACCATTTCCAATGCACTGAGCAGAGCATAATTTTTATATATAATGAAATTAGATTTATTTAGCAAAATAAAACAGAAAATTGATGTTTATTAGAATGAAGTGTAAAATGAAACACAGGGAATTCAAAGAAAGATGGTATTAGCAACTGATAATAGTAATAAAACCTAATATGACATTAAGAGCCTATTAATCAGCTCATTTGCCTTTACAGGATGACTGGGCCCGAAGTAGCAATGTCAGACTCAGCTTGTAGCTGGGAAACCTGAGCCAGAGAAAGCTCAGATAATGTCCTCTCATTGCCCCAGATAGCGCCATCTGCTGCCACCACCTGCACAAGGTCACCTACCACCTTCGAGGCACTCCGACCTCTGCTTCCTCAAAACCTGTTCTCCATACCGCGTCCAGGGTAATATTTAAACAAAACCTGAATTCGTGATATCATGCCTCTGCGCAGACTCTCTCTCGGCTTCTCACTGATCTGATCGGAGAATCAAATGCAATCTCTGCAACTCTCCCCCTTGGCCCAGAGACTCTGCGCTGCCTGGCCCAGCCGCTACCTGTGCCCACGCTGGATTTCAACTGTGCCTCCTGCAGCGCCTGTTCCCGGTGCTGTGGGGCTGCCTCTCAGAGAGATCTCTTCTCTTCAAAACCGAATCCCAGGGCTGGGGCTTTAGCTCAGTGGTGCCGCTGCCTGCCTTGCAAGCACAAGGTCCCGAGTTTGATCCCCAGTATCAAACAAAACAAACACAAAAAAACCCAAAACTGATTCCCGGTTATCCGGTCGCTCCCACCTGTGCGCACATACACCACACACACACACCCCAACATCGCTGTGCCTCTGCACTTGGCTCTTCCTCAAAGCTCTCCTCATGACCCGAGCTCAGCTTACTCATGCACCCCTCAATGCTGGAGGGTGGACTTCATGACAGTAGGGAACGTGTCTGTCTTACAGCTCTCGGCTTGGTGCCTGGCACCCAGTAGCTGCTCAGTAAACAGCTTTTGCCACTGAGGAATGAATGCACACAGTTTCTGGCAGGAATCAACCAGCCCACCTGATTGAGTGAGCATGCTTATAGTAACTGCTTTCCTCTCCTTCATTCCTACAGGTTGTTGTTTTTTTTTTTCCTGGTACCAGGAATAGAACTCAGGACCTTGCACTTGCCAGGCAGGTATGGTGCCACTGAGCTACATCCCCAGCCCTCCTACATTTATTCTAAAACAATGATGAACATATATTTATCAGCCCATTTGTCTTTCTGAGCTATGAATCTTTCCTAAGACACGGAGCCAGGCACCTGTGACAGCACATCCCAGATGCTGACTTCACAGAGAAAGGAGGGGACCCGCTGTGCATGACTGTGAGCCACACAGCTTCCTGGAACTCTGGAACATTGCAATGTGAGAACTCCCGTTCTGGGTCAGTGTCTGTCCCCTCGAAATTGTCCCCTTGTGGCTTTGCTTGTGTGGAAATGTTTCTTCTGGGCTCAGTCAAGGTCATAATCATGAACCACAAAAACAACCAGGCTTTTGATAAACCAGAGTACTG